TTCCCCCAAATACCGCACGTACTATGTAAGTGTTAGTTTAAGGGAGAAGAGGTTTAGAGAATGGTTGGTAGTGTTTAGGACAATAGCTTAACTTGAAAGGGAAAACTTTTGAAAGAGTATTGAATGGAGGAAGAAGGTTACAAAGCCTCACAGACTTAGTTGGATACAAGGCAGCTGGTAGTTTTCAGCTTTTCTTGGATGATTACATAAGTGGGCTGCTAGCTTATAATGTATAGGAATGCTAAAGTCAGCAGCTTTGCTTGGAAAAGTCGGTTGCACAGTAACCGATTTTTCCAAAGTGATTTTCAGCCACAATTATTTTATTATTCTAGATTACTCTAGTTATAATATATTATATAATTAGTACGATATTTCTAGTGACTTTAACTTGTCAACTTCTCTTAATTTTTCTAGATTATTCTATATTATTCAAGATATTTCTTTATTATTCAAAGTACAAGTATGCATTACTTTTTAGCAGTAAGGCTAACATAATGCTAACATTATTTTTGTAGAAAAAAGGGCAATGAATCCTCCAGAAACTGCAAATCTAAAGTTGCCACAGATACTACTAAAATATGGTATTCATGTTGATGTTGATGAATATCTGAGAGAGCAACCAGGAAGCTGCAAAGCAGAACCTATTTTGGAGCATCCTTAGCAATCAATTTTTAAATAATTGATATAAAGAAACAAAATCAATTTTAAATTGATATAAAAGAAACACTGTATAGTTTTTATTATGGGGAATATCAGTCATCAATCAAAACAAGTCATGGTGATGCCAGTGTGGTCTTTGGCATTGAGCATACAAGCAATTACCAGCTTGACCAGGGTACTAGATGCTCAGGTGTTCTCACTTCTCATAACCCGAGCAGGAGCTGAAGTCGAGCACTATCTTGATGCTTGGGGTGTTCCTGTAATTTCAGCACTAAGTACATACTTTGCTTGAGCACTAGCTCAATGCTCTCAATGTTATCTCATGCCTCAAGAACATGCTTTGACTTGGGCACATTGATCACAGAACAAATTATGATAGAGCAATAACCTGTAGAATCTTTAAGAAAGATCTCCAGTTACCTGATGTCAAACCTAAGGATCATGAATGGAATCACTGAAATTATAAGGGATAAGGGGCACTTACAAATGCTCCTGGACCATGTGTTTTCTCCCTCTCCATCTCTCCGTCTTTGTAAATTTTGCTTTCCTGTATATCCAAATAGATCCCTCCCCTGAAGATAAAGATGATGGGCTTATTACATGCACATCCACTATGGTAAGGCCCAAAAATAGAGAATTTACTTTACGTGATCCTTGGATGATACATAGTCAATGACCATGGATGGATGATGGGCTTTTTCTTGATAAAGTATCTTCCTTTTGTGGCAAGCATAATATTGACATTCTCAACATGGATGATGTGTTCGTAGTTCGAAGAAGATCACGGCGTAGAGTGGAGGGAATGACAAACCTTCATTATTACCATGTGGATATCTTTTACACAGTCATTGATAAGCAACTTCAAGAACTAAATAATCGTTTTAATGAGGTAAATGCGGAGTTGCTTCTTTGTATGACATGTTTGAGTCCAAATGATATATTTTTAGCTTTTGATATGTAAAAGCTACTTTGTCTTGCTCGATTTAATCCAAAGGACTTTTCTAAGATAGAGCTGATGCGCTTGAAGACCAACCTGGGACTTATATTAGTGACATGCATTTGAGTAGTGAATTTTTTGAAGTAAAAGGAATTGGTGGTCTTGCATAAAAGATGGTGGACACAAGAAGCGACAAAGTATATCCATTAGTGTACATGCTTGTGACATTAGCTTTACTTTTGTTGGTTGCAATTGCTTCAATGAAGAGAGCCTTTTCACTTATGAATATTGTGAAGATTCCACTTTGTAAGAGAATAGGGCATCGATGATTGAATGATAGTTTGATAGTTTATATTGAAAAAGATGTATTTGATAGTGTTTGTTGGTAAAATTACCCTAAGGCCGAGCTTCATATTGTTGAGGCCAAAAAAAACTCATTTGCTCTTTATAGCAGCCCAGGGCCATCTGTAGTTGCTGGAATAAAAAAGCCCCTACACATATAAATTGGAATTCTATTCGGATATTGACTTCTATTTTGAGGCTAATAAGGAAGCCTACTTCTACAAGGATTTGATTATCTCCAAACTATTATATAAAGGCAGCTCTCAAACTTGAAAAGGGTTCCTCCGGGTTCTTCCCACATCCTCATGCGAGAACTCAACCCTATGTTATCAATATTTGATCTTGTTCATCATGATTATGAGTGTGATGGGTGTAATTGGGATATGGGTTGTAAGGATCGAACACTTTATATCTCTTGTTCTTTCTTCATTCAATAGTGAAAATATCAAATACCTCGTGGACGTAGCCCGATTATGGGTGAACTATGTAATCTCTTGTGTGGCTTGATTGAATGTTCTTACTTAATTTCTATTTACAAGTGTAATCCCTAAGCACTATAACTCGTTCTAGGGGACGACATGCTTGGTCATGCCAAATTGGTTTGGAAAGATTGCCGACCTCAATCTCGAAGAGGTCATTTTCTGTTGAACCAATTTTAGGCATCAACATATAGCATTGATAATGATGTTATCATGGAACGTTTTCAAACAACGAAAACGCGTAGGGACAATTATGACTTAGAACCTATTTAATTTTTACATTTCCAGAAAGCTACCTAATGTTGTTATATGTGATTCATGATCTCCATCACAAACTCTCATTGATACGAGTTGTTACTATCAATTTTTGTGGGAGTGCACATGAAAAACCAACCTCAGAGCACAACAACACGTGTTACCCCACGAGTTCGCAGGACCAAAGTACCCTTAAATTCCATTGGACAACAACTTCCATGTCATTGTTTAGCCACATCAATCAATGATGTGTTGTGCAGATCAAAACAATTGTGCTAGGCAAGAGCTTTTCATAGAGTAGAGCAAAACAGCCACCCCCATACAACCTAGCCAAAACAACTCTGTGGTGCTATATGAACACTTTAGTTTGGACTCGTGCTCTGTCTAGTTGGACTCGTGCCGAATAATGCTCGGATCAACTTAGATCTGCATGGCCTGTATCAGAATCCAAAGCTAACTTCTCTCACATCTGGAAATCCTGACTCAAATCACTTTCCATATATGGATGAATCTCAATCCCGAAGAATCATGGACATTTGCAGGTTATATACGAAGATCTTGACTTGCAATCGTAGTGTCATCAAGACTTACCCTTCACCAAGAATTCCCACCCCTTTGGGACACTCTCAAGAGTATATATCTTTTTCACACAATACAATAGTACATTACCATAATCTTCCCATCTTTTGCAACTTCAACTCTCCTGCTTTCCAAATCGAATCCACCTGACTTTCTTGGCAAACACCACACTGGTGTCTCATTAACCTTTGATAGCTGCGCTTTGGTCCAAAAAAACCTTTGATAGCTGCGCTGAGTTGAGACTCTTATCTGCAAAAGATTGATCATACATTACATACTGTGGTGCTTTTCAATAAATAAAAATGAAGAGTGTTTAACTACAGTGATCAAATATTTACAAAGAATATTATGAGAAGAAACATTCTAAACAAAGTAAGAATATCTCATGTAATATACATGACTACAAAAGTCAATGATAGAAAGAGAGATTTCATATCACTAAAATGTACATGCATCATATTAGAACATTTACGAACCCTTCTTAGGATAATCCATGACACGTCCGGCTACAGAAGACTTGATAAGACGATTTGGCTGCCCTGATTTAATAGTTGGCTTTTGGTTGAAAAAATAGATGCATTTAAAATTAAAAATGGTGCTCTTACACAAACACTCATGCTTGACCCAACCTATTAGCTTAATCATTATTATTCCTTCATACAACTCAAAAAAGCAAAAAGAGAGGAAAGCAACTAACCTATGAAGCCAAGATCCAAACTTTCAGACCAGAGAAGGATAGAATGGAATACTAGAAACCTTTAATTATTTTGTATTCTATAAGGGTTCCATGGTCATTGACTAAGTATCGTCCAAGGAAAGTAAATTCTCTGTTTTTGGGTCTTACCATAGGGGATGTGCAAGTAATAAGCCCATCATCTTTATCTTCTAAGGAGGGGTCTATTTGGATATACAGGAAAGCAAGATCTACAAAGGGGGAGATACGGCGAGGGAGAAAACACATGGTGCGGAGCTAAATTGACATTCTTACTTGCAAAAGATTTTCCCAACATTAGATACACACGGTGCTTTTCAATATATTCTTTTTCAAAAGATACATTGCAGCTCTATGTGGTGAATATTGCCAACAACCAAAAAAAAAAAAAAAAGAGAAGAAGAAGAAAAAAAAAAAAATTTAATTCCAATGACCAAACATTTAAACGTAATCATTAGAAGAACCATGACAAATAAAAAAGAAAAAAAAGGAAACAAGGAATATCTCGTGTAGTCTAAAGTTTTTGAAAGCCAAAGGAAGAATTCATATTATCTGACGCAGCATTCTCGTGCTACCTTTAAGCACTATGATTGAACAATAGGCAGCAGCAAACAATGGGAATTTGAACAATTTAGTGAAAAATATCACCTTATTCACCTTCAGGATAAAAAGAAAATCCATCTTTGACTCTGCAGTGGTCTGAGCATTTGTAAGTGCTCCTTATCTCTTATACTTTCAGTGAGTCCATTCATGATCCTTAGGCTTAACATCAGGTAACTGGAGATCGTAAAGATTCTACTGGTAACTGCTCCATCATAATCTGTTATGTGATCAAAGTGCCCAAGTCAAAGCATGTGCTTGGGGCATGAGATAACATCCAGAGCATTGAGCTAGTGCTCAAGCAAAGCATGCGCTTAGTGCTGAAGTCATAGGAACACCCCAAGCATCAAACTAGTGCCTGACTTCAGCTCCTGCTCGGATTATGAGAAGTGAGACCACCTGAGCATCTAGTACTCTGGTCAAGCTGGTAATTGCTTGCAGCTTCCTGGTTGCTCTCTCAGATATTCATCAACATCAACATGAATACCATATTTGAGCAGTATCTGTTGCAACTTAAGATTTGCAGTTTCTACAGGATTCATTACCCTTTTTTTTCTAAACCCAAGAACAAGTGCCTGGTGAGTAATGTTATTAGGAAGGATACCATGTTCAATCATCATACTTATCAAGGTGCATGCATCATCCATGCTCCCAAAACTACAATGCCCATGAATCAGAGTGTTGTACAGTATCAGATCTGGACGTAATCCAATATTAAGCATCTTGTGAAACAAAACATTAGCTTCTTCTATTCGACGCTCTCTATAGTATCCATTCAGAAGAGCACTGCATGTCACTACATCAGGTTTCACATCATGCTCACTCATGTAGAACCACACAAAAAAGGCCTCCTCAAAGTTCCCCTTCTTTGAAAACCCATCTATAAGGTTAGTGAATGTGACCACATCCAGAGAGAAACCCCTTTTGATTAGCTCAAACAAAATTTCTTTTGCTTCGATTACAAATCCTCTTGTGACAAGACTATGAATGAGAGTGTTATATGTCACAATATCAGGTGAAACATTGGAAGAATTCATCATATCTAAAAGCCCAAAAACCTTTTGTAAGTGTCCCTTCCTACCAAAGCCATCCATTAAGGTGTTGAATGTAACAACATCAGGTGCCAAACCTGCTGAAATCATCTTGTGAAACGAATATTCTGCCGTTTCCATGTTTCCAGACTTGCAATAAGCATCAATGAGGGATGTGTATGTGGTAACACATGGTGTGATTCCATTTTTTAACATTTTCCCAAAATACTGAAAAGCTCTATCAATGTCTCTCACTTTGCAGTATCCATCAATTATAGTAGAGTAACAAAAGCAATCGGGGAGCAAGCCCAAAAGAGACATCTCATGAAACAGTCTAGAAGCTTCAACCATATTACCATCTGTGCATAACTTTGAAATGAAGCTATTGTATATGAAAATATTGAGGGAAGTATTGAAAATCTTCAATATGCTTATTGCTACCTCTGTCTGCCCCAGCTTACAGTGACCATCAATAATTGAACTAAGCAGAACTGGATCAGGAGAAATACCCAATTGAGTCATCTTAAACAATAAAGCGGTGGCTTCATTCAGATAAGACATCTTGCAAAGTGAGTTAATAACAATTGTAAATGAAACCACATCAGGTTGAATCCCATAATTTTTCATTTCCAAGAGCAACTTCCAACCACTTTCCAGATCACCCTCACTACAGTACTTATTAATGAATAAGCTCATCATAGCTGCATTTAAACCCATCCCTCTTGTCCGCATAACTTCCAGAAAATCCCATGCCAATTCCAACTGCTTTGATCCTAATAATGCCTGCAGTAGTGAGTTACACACCCCATTTGAAGGAAAGATGTTTAGGTGCTTCATTTGACATGCTATTTTTAAAGCCATGTTCACCATGCCTTCCTGAATATAACCATTGACAAGCATGCTACATGTGGTTTCTAACACCCTTATTTCGCTATGGGTTTCATAAAGGACTTCTAGCAATGAATTACATGACTCCTCGTCACCATGATTTCTCACAAGATGCAATATCAGATCCACTGCTCTATGATTCAGGTTTCCAGAAACCAAAATATGTATCATTCTACATATGGTTTGTATTGTATGCTTTGATCCAGAACAGCATTCTGACCACTTGAAGAAGTATAGAACAAGTTTAGCATCCAAACTCTCCTCAAACAGATCGTTCAAAAGCTCTATAATGTTCAACTGATTCAGATAGATATTATACCCATTTTGACAACCAAGATTCCATCCACGCTTTGCGAGTATTAACATTAATCTTTTCATTTCATCTTCATCTGGTCTCTCATTAATGGAAAACAAGAAACCAGTGTCAACAGGCTCACAAATGTCGTCTCCACCACAATAAAGTTCGTTTATTCCTCTAAAGTCAGTAGGATAGCTTTTTGCATTCAGAAAAAAACCATTATCAGCAGCAACGGTATCTTCAAGTGTTGAGGTTTCATCCTCTGACAGAGTTATGGAAGATAGTGCTGAATTCACAGAAGAATAATATCTCAGTGCACTTCTCCTCCTGAATATCAGCTTCAATTGGGACGTGTACATGTTGATGATTGACAACAAACCCGCCATCAACAACCTTAAAAGAGTGAACATAGCTGTACAAAGAAGAAAAAGAGGAAAAAAAAAAATGTTTACATATCTGAATTACCACATATCCTTCGAGCAGATACTCAAAAAGAGCTTAAAACAAACACAAAATGATGAGCATATACAACCCCACTCTCACTTTCAACCCTAGTCACAGGAACCGTTGTTGTGAGTTGTATTCAACAGTTGTATACCAACCAAAAGCAAAAAGAACAAAAATAAAATAAAAATTGATCCTTTGAACCAGTACCAACTGTGTCTCACAAAATATGTTCAAGAAAATAAATTCATTGGGATGGACATAAGGGTACTAATCATATTCATACCACAGCGCAAAAGTATATATATTTTTTTTCCCATGTTGTCAAATACTAGCCACTTCATAAACTTCTTGTTTTACTACTGTTGATTTGTTCAACATCTCAATCCGCAAATCAAATACAGTGCTAGCGTTTGAAGCCAAATCTCTTGTGGCATTTCATCGAACATATGATGACCAATTGCATATTATCACCAGATTATCAGCCATGAGATACGTGACAAATGACATGGCCTTCAGAATAGCAAATTACGCCAAAATCCAAAATCAAAACTTTGCTACTAAGTTGAATTAAAAGAATTAGAAGAAAGAACAGAAAGCTTACCATTTGGGAGATTATGCTTGCTGTATTTACTGCTGCCTGCTGGGGATGATGCTTCAGTGAGAGAGAGAGAATTATGTTTACAGTTTGGTCGACCGAGAATAAGCAGCTGTGTTCACCGGACAGTTTTAAGAGTAGCTACCTTTTCCTTATTTCTATAAGTCAGTGTTTTTCAACTTGAAGCCCTTATTTCTATAAGTCAGTGATTTTGGCCTTTTGGGTCAATTACAAGTTTACCTCTATACTTTTAGGATTTTACATTTTGGTCTCATAACTTTAGTTTTCTTTTTCTTTTCTTTTTTTATTTTCGGGAAATAGTAACCTCATTATAAATATTTTTTTTTTAGGAGCCTCTCATATTGAAAGGGTCAAAATTCATTAAACTCGCACACGCCCATGCAAGGACTCAAACCAGAACCATTCGTGTAAGATTTTTTTTTTCTTTTTCAAACCACTATATTAATGGTTCACTTGCAATAATAACCCTATTATAAAAGTAGACAAAAGAGGTGGCGCATGACCACTTTTTGAAGGGTATTTTGGTCAAAACAAATAGGTTATATGTTCTCGTTGAGTTTCGTATGTCTTAACTCCAAGAAGTCTTCTTGAGTAATATGGTGGCCGCGGATGCTTTTGCTACTTATGGTCATCAATTTCCTTATCTTTTTGTTTGGTTTAATCATGTTCCTTCTTTGATAAATCTTCCGATGTTGTAAGATAATATTTTTTCAAACTATGATGACAAGCTTATGGCAGATGTTACTTGAACGCCTAAACTCTCTTGTTTAGGCATGCGTGCTAAAATATGATCAAGCCTCTCTCACACTTCCTTAACTGTTAGAACTCAAGATTTCATATTTTTTTTAATACCTTATCTAATAATTGTTTAAGAGTTCTTGAACAAAGCTGGTTTTAAAGAGCTAGTTCTACACATGAGGATCTGAACAATTGGTATTATGCATGAGCTCTTGGCACTCTTCCGTTGAACGACACTCCTTTTCTTAGCTTTTATTCACCATAAATTACGTTTCTAGGCAAATAACACACATACTAAACTGTTGCTTAACTTGTTACATTTATGCTTGTTGGATTATATGTTGAAGAACATGAAACAATTGCTAAATCATGGTAAGGTTAGAAGAAAAATTATAGAAAACGTTCCAGGTTCTAGAAAATCCCGAATGAATTGAACATCAATGAACCTGAGTTGATTTCAAACGGCCATTTAATCGAAGTTCATATGTCAACGTAATATAAGTTAAACACAAGAAATTAAAGAGCCGTGGCTGCCTTCTAGAGCATTTACCTCTGCACCGATAATCAAAGTTTATCAATGAACCTGAGTTGATTTCAAACGGCCATTTAATCGAAGTTCATATGTCAACGTAATATAAGTTAAACACGAGAAATTAAAGAGCCTTGACTGCCTTCTAGAGCATTTACCTCTGCACCGATAATCAAAGTTCGGCTTTTGCCCTTTCCGTTTTCAGAATATAAGAACAGAAAGAAAAACAAGAGAAATAGAACATTTAAAAGTTTTAGATGATATTAGAATCAACTCTTGGTGCAGACAAAATTGTCAAATGTGCTTGATGTCTGGCCTGCAAACCCCACTTCTTATTCTAGGTAGGAATTCCAGGTGAAACCAAAAAGAGCCAAGAAAAGAGAAGCCCAAGAGACTAGAACAAACATTTAAATCTTTTTCCTTTCTTTCCTATTATCAACAAATACAAAGAATATGTAAAGGTTAATGTACAGGCTTACAACTGATCCATCCCTAAACATAAACTTGAGGAGATGTACACCATTTTTTTAGCTTTTTTCTTTTTCAAAAGAATTGATTTACTAATATTAGAACTGGCCATTTTAAACTACATGTCAAACCCACCACTATCTTCTACAAACCACCAGTACGGCAAACCTTATAGTGATACCTATACGGCCACCACAAGAAAATTTGTAATGCCCCTTCCAGTTCCACCAACCCATGAACTTCAAAAAATATGCTTCCCTTTCTCTCACTACCAGAGATTCTATTTCTAACTAGAGAAAGCCCTTCTCCCAATACCAGAGACTCCACGTTTACGACTAGAAGTATGCAGCAAAATATTCTTCTAACATCTTCAGCACGTACAATTCATGTTCTGGAATACTAGAGTTACTTCACGCGAAACTCATGCCTGAATACTGTCAGGTTTTGGGTAAACTTGTCCCTGTTCTTTGAATCCAAGCTTCTGGTAACATCTGCCATAAGCTTGTCAAAACACTGTGAAAGCCGCTGATGTTGATCCGCTGGCTGCAGGTCAATGCAAAAAGAGTCATGTACAGGTGACAATAATTTGAAGAGATACATAGGGTTCTAGAATACTATTCTCTTGTCAGATTTATATCGCATGACAAATGCTTGTGTTGCTAGACTGTGAAAACACATTCACGAAAAAGTCAAACTGATCAATCGTCCAAATTACAGTCTGCAACATCACATCTTTCTCTCCCTATCACTAAAATACACATATAGGACTTGAAAAGATGATTTGGCTGTGATTTAGCACTTTTTTTGTTCGAAAAATTCATTGTTACTCAAACAAAAAGTTCATGTTTGGCCCATCCAATTAACTTGATCTTTATTATTCTATATATAACTCAAAACACTTTAAAATAGTGTAAGGCACAACTGACCTGTGAAGCCAAGATCCGAACTTTCAAATCAGAGAACATCTGCAAGTTAAAGACCACCTTTCAGTAAAATATAAAGTAACATAGGATAAGTGAAAAGGTTGGGACCATCAATGCAAATCCCTTTCGGTGAAGTTTTTGGTTTTCTTTCTATCTATTCTCCCATCACTCTTCCTCACTTCTTTCTCTTTCTTCCTCTCTCTCTCTCATGAAAAACAAAACTAAAAAACTTTATTGAATGCAAACCAAGTAGTTTGGGGTTTCAGCTAATTTGGCCATGCTGATACAAGAAGAATTAACAAAGTTGGCCCACCACAATGAGTTGAACAAAAACATAAAAGGCACTGAATTCAAACATGCAACTTCTCTATGGAAACACAAAGGAAGAGCATCCTTTGGTTGGTCAGGAAGGCCATGAGAACAGAGAAAGGTTAAAGACTATATAAATACTGTACAAATACTGTTAGGACACAAGGCAAACGTACAACATTTGAATATGCTCTTACATTATGAAATGCACAGTGGAGGAGAGTGCTATACATAATAAGTGGATCCTTCCAGATTCACAGTTAAGAGAGAGAGAGAGAGAGAGAGAGAGAGAGAGATCTGCTCTGTTTCCAAGAAATGTACTGAAAGCTGAATAGAGAAGAAAACATTCTTTACAAGCACATACGAGCACACAGAGCACGAAATTGAATAGTGTATCAGATGAAGGTAGAATGAACCGATTGATAAGGGGCATTTAAGAAGCCGAAGTTGCACATTACGTGTTGTTTCTGTGGTCAGAGATTTGAACAAGGTAAACTACGAAAGTAAAAGGCCACACATGCACTCGAATAAAAGGATCACACAGAGAACAGGAAATTGAAAAGTGTATCAGATGAAGATAGGATGAACTGATTAATAAGGGGCATTTAAGAAACAATGTTGCACGCATTCCTGTTGTGTTTGTGGCTATAGATTTGAGCAAGGAAAAATATGTAAGTAAAAAGCCACACATGCGCTCAAATAAAAGTATCACACAAACATACACACACACAGAGAAAAGAAAATTGAATAGTGTATCAGATGAAGGTAGAATGAACCGACCAATAAGGGGCATTTAAGAAACTGATGTTGCACGCACATGTGTTTTGTGCGTGGCTAAAAGTTTTGAACATGGTAAAATATGAAAATTAAAAGTCACACATGCACTCAAGTAAAAGTATCACCTGCTCACTAATAAGTATCAAGCTAAGCATTGGTCTGCTAAGACTCCACTGGTTGCCACAGTCCTCGAATAAAACAATCTCAAATAGCGTCTTCAGTATCTTTACATATAAAAGAAAAAAACAATCAGATTATTAATATAACCTAAGAAATTGAG